AGGAGAAAGGTCAGCAGAAATGAGGTGGAAAGAGTCTGAGAGGCCAGATCATTGGAAAGATGGACCATCACGGGAAGGTTAAGTATCTCAGCGGGATGGAAGGGGCTGCGGCCTGTGAGGAGGTGCTAGAGTCTTTAGGAATAAGTGACCAGGGAGTCAACAGATGTCAGTGAGGAAATGGGACACACGGTGGCGGAACCTGAGGATACAAGGCTCAAAGAAGCTAGGGCTCTGTGAAGCCAGATTAGAGTCAAGGTTTGCCTCAACTGAGTTCCCACAGCCCTTTGTATGTCCTTTTGAGATACGCTCTAGGGATCTTGTCCACCACTACGGCAGAGCTTGTCAAGGGAAGGGTTGGGTCTGGCCCATCCAGTAGTGGCTGAACAGAAGTTTACCTTGGTAAATGATTGTTGAATGACTTGGGGGAGCGGGAAAGAGAACAGTACTGGGTGACATTTAGTAAAATGACAGAGCCAGGATTCTAACACAGGATTCTCTGGGTCTCAAATTAAAAAGCCCTGGTTTGAACCACAATCCAGTACTGTTTTCTGTGTTTGAAATCCAGTATCCTGCGCTCTGCCTCCAGCACCTGCCTTCCAGGCCTAGCAGGCCCTCACTGCCATTACACCCGTAGTGTCAGCCCAGAGAGAGGTCCCCTCCCTTGATTCCTCTGTTTCTGCCAGTCAGCCAGACCCCTCTCGGCTTCTCTCCTTTCCCTGCCCAACCAGAGCCTCATATTGGACCACTTTATTTACCATTTGTTTTGTTGCACTGTAAAGAGAATAGCTCTGCATTCTCTTTATTTTTAATAATCTGTTTAAAAAACAAAACAAAACCTCTTATTTAATTTAAAAAATGCTTTCCACGCTTTTACACATGCTATTCCACCTATCTAGAATATCTTTGCCCATTCTATCCACCCAAAGATCTCAAGAATGAGCAGAAATTATCAGGAAGAAGAAAAATAAACCACAATGCTATACTACCACATATCTGTCCAATCAGCAACACTAGGTATTGGCAAGGATGTGAAACAAAGAGAACTCTCGTTCAGTACTGGTGGGAGAGTAAGTTGGTATAAACACTTTAGAAAAACAGTTTATCAGTATAGTAGACTGAAAAATGTCCCCCAAAAGGTATTCATGGCTTAATCCCTGGAATCTGTGATTGTTATCATATGTGGCAAAAAGACTTTGCAGATGTGATTAAAGAATTTTAAGATGAGGTTATCCTGGATTATTTGGATGGGCCCCAAATGCAATCGCATGTGTCCTTTAAGAGAGAGGAAAAGGAATTTGCCACAGACAGAAGAGAAAATGTGACCACAGAAGCTGAGATTGGAATGATGCAGCCACAAACCTAGGGATGCTGGCAGCCACCAGAAGTTGGAAGAAGCAAGGAACAAATTCTTCCCTAGGGCCTCCAAAATGAGTATGGGCCTGCCGACACTTTGATTTTGGCTTAGTGAAACTGACTTTAGACTTCTGGCCTCCAGGACTACAAGAGAATACATTTCTGTTGTGTTAAACCACCAAGTTTGTGGTAATTTGTCACAGCATTCCTAGGAAACTAATATGGGCAATATCGACTGAACCGGAACACACACGTACGCATGTCCAGCAATTCCACTTCCAGGTATATCCCAACAGAAATGCAAGCCTTTGTTCACCAAGAAACATGCACAAGAACGTTCAGGGCAGCATTAGTCATAACAGTCCCAAAATGGAAACAACTCAAATGTCTGTCAACAATGCAATGCATGGACGACTTGTGGGATGTTCATAAAAATGAGTGAACTACAAATAAACACATGGAGGAACCTCGCACAACACTGAGCAAAAGAAACCAGACACAACACAAAACATACTATATGATTCCATTTATGTCAAGAGCAAAAAGAAATAAAATCAATATCACCGAGTGACATAAAACTAGAAAGTTAAAGAAAAGCAAGGACTTATTACTGTCAAAGCTAGACTGGTGTTCCTACCTAGGTAAAGAAGGGGATAGCTACCAGGAAGGAGCTCACGACAGAAAGGCGGGGTGAGGGACTTCTGGGGTGCCGGTAATGTAGTCTTTAATGTGGGAAGCACAGGTTTTTTATGATGACTTATTAACTGTACATTTATGTTTTATGCACTTTTCTGAATGTTGTATTTCACAGTTAAAATGTATCTCAGTGGTGATGGTGGTGGTGGCATCGATTTTTAATAGAAGGAACTGGGAGCTTCCCAGTCCTTGAAGCCTCCCTGGATCCCTCCACCCAGTGTCCTCCGGGCTCCCCCAGCTTCTGCTGCTTGTTCAGTCACTGACCACCCCGGGCTGTGACCCGCGGCGTTCCAGACTGGCTCGCCCACCCAAACTGGAGCCAGCACCCAGGCAAGTCCTCTCCGGGTCCCCAGCAGAGGCCAACCCGGGGCCCCACCCTTGGGAGGCCTCAGGGAACCTGGGCCACCTCGCACTTCCACCTTCTGTTGTAATCGTCGGGCCCGTGTCTGTCTGCCGGCATGTGGCAGCAGATGACTGCTGACCAAATGAAAGGGTGGCTGACTCTCCATTGCCACTTACCTTTGACTCTGTCCATCTGTCCCTCTACATCCCATTCAGGAATGTTCTCTGAGGTTCTCGCGAGGGTGGTTCTCTGCCTGGAATGCCCTGTCATTTTGTGGAACTCCTACTCATCCTTCGAGAGCCACCTGCAGGCTCCTCTCTGTGAAACCAGAGCCCGCCTTCCTCTGAGATTCCACAGGCCCCTATTTCCCTTGGCCGCAGCCTGTCCAGGCCTCGCCCCACAGAATCCCTCCCGATTTAGGAAACTCTTTGATCTCCCCGGATTGTCCTCGAGGCCTGAGTCGGACCCACTTCTGGGCCTCAGGAGCCTGTTGGTCACCCCCGGCGTCAGGTGCGGGGTTTCACGAGCCCAGGCCGGCTCCACCGCCCGCGCGCTCAGCGAGGCTCTGGAGGCGCGACACGTTGCCTCACGGTTCCCGCCATCGCGGCCTGCCGGCACGCACTGCGCCTGCGCGCGCTCCCGGGGCCTCGAGGCCAGGATGCCTTACTTCCGGTACACAGGTGACAGAGTAAGAGACAGACACAGGATCCCAGGCAGAGAAGGGTGGGGCCGCAAAAACCCAAAGAAAGGGGCGAGGCGAAGCAGGGGGCAGGGCCTGTAGGCGGGGCCTAACGAATGGGGCGGGGCTGAGGCAGGCGATGGGGTTTGTAGCGTGGAACTCGAGCGGAGGAACGGGCCGAATCGTGTCCAGTAAGGGCGTAAGGGCGCTCGCTGTTCAGCAGAGGTGAAGAGACAGGCATCACGGGTCTGAGGCGGATCCTGAAATTTAGCCCCGCGGAGGCCAGGACAAGCGGCAGGTCCCACCCTTAAGCACAGTAAGACCCAAGTAGCGAGCCTCAAATCTCAGGTCATGAAAAGCAAGCCTGCTCCCCTGCAAGCCTACTCAAGGGAAGGAGAAATGGTGCAGAAGCCACCATTTCCCTCCCCAACCAGTCCACTAGAAGAGAGCTGCTCTCCACCTCAAGTGCTGCTGCTTTATCCCTCAGGCGAGTCACTTTCCCTCTCTGAGTTCATTTCCTGTCAAAAGGGGGTAAAATCCCTACTTTGCAGGGGGCTAAGTATTAAATAGATCTTAAGTAGGTGCCCAGTAGACCTTAGCTCCCTCCCAGAGAGGGTACAGGGACAGCCTATGGTTACACAGAAACTAGCTGACCCAAGCCTCGACTCCTGGACAGGACTCAACTCCTAGACTTGCCACTTTATCCCTGTACATCAACAGGTAAAGGCGCAGCACAGGTTCCCAGGTGTGGGCAGGTGTACCTACCCCTTACCTTAGGAAAAGGCCCACAGTTGGAAATCCCTGCCCACTCCACCCCCAGGTCCCCAGCCCTGGTTCCCCTCCCCCTCAGGAAGGAAAACCCCGGGTATTGTGTAAGAAACTTGAGTTCCTTAGCCCATAAACAAGGGGTGGAGAAAGAGCAGGAGGCCGCAACCTCCCACAGCCACAGGGCAGCAGGAAGAAGAAAAACAGAGATCCAGATTTGAGAAAGTAACTATCCAGAAGGCACGAAGGGTAGGGAGCCACATGGAGATGGGTTCTAGCAAAGCCCAGCTGCTGATCTGTAGTTTCCAAACCTCTGGGTTCTGTCAGCCTTACAGACAGCTGACCCACCTCACTGAACTAGTTAAAAACATTGGCACTCTCAAGGAACAAAGCATGTGTGAATGGGCTGGGAGTGTTTATGACTCCGAGGCAGTACTTCCTCTTGACAGATGAAGAAACTGAGACCCAGAGAGGAGGGCAAGCCTGTGGTAGCAGCTGGCAGATGATTTAGCATCCCACCCACCCTCCAGCCTGACACTACACCCAAGCTCTCATCAGCTCCTTCCTCTGGCCCATTAAGAAAGAGTCCTAGAGAGCCTTGATGCCCATCTGTGCCCCTTCTAGAGCAGTTTTATTGGTGCCATTTGTAAAAGGCATTTCTCATCAGCCCCCAAGCCTTTGCCTTCCCTTTCTGAGAAGGCAGTTGGCTTCTGGTCCTGGCCCCATGGGCATCGGCATACTTGACCAGTCTGATGCTGCTGCGACACACGTGACAACTTTGCGTGCAGGTCCTTGTGCAAGTCCACGTCCAGCTTTGGGGAGCAGGAGAGGGTAAAGGGCCAGGTCTGTGTGTGGAAGCTGGGCAGAGCCCTGGCTGGCTGTAGAGATGTGTGGGCAAGGTGATCAGGCCCCATGTGTGCCCCGGCTCCAGTGCCCAGTGTGGCTGAAGCCCAGGGTTTGGAGCGGTAAAATCAGAGATCCTGAGAAAGAAGCCCTTAGGCCAAAGAAGTGTATGGAGCAGGCCAGGGCAGGAGCCCAGGGGAGATTACCTTGGGCGCAGTGTGTACACACAGCCCAGGGTCGGGATACAATGTGCAGGGGGCCTTTGGTGAGTGTGTGGCTATGTCT